ACTCTTGAAAAGGGCTTGGAGAGAGAAAAAGTTCCCCAAAGAATGGAAAACGGGATTAATAATAAAGATACCAAAAAGGGTGACAGAAGATATTGCGAAAACTGGAGAGGAATCACACTTCTGAATACTATAAATAAATTAACAGCAATAATTATAAACAACCGACTAACAAACAGTGTACAACCAATGTTGAGGAAGGAACAAGCCGGTTTCAGACCAAACAGATCATGCGTGGACCAAATTAACACACTAAGAATAATTGTAGAACAGTCACAGGAATTCAACTCTCCTCTCTTTGTGTGCTTTGTGGACTTCAAGAGAGCTTTTGACACGCTCACACATACGGCCATATGGAAAGCACTGCAGGAAATAGGAATACCAGAAAAAATAGTAAATCTTATCAAAGAACTCTACAGTGACACAGAAAGCAAAATCCTACACAACGGCATAACATCTGACCCAATAGCTATGCTAAACGGAGTAAAGCAGGGCTGTGTTTTATCCCCCATACTATTTAACATTGTACTGGACTCAGTACTAACAAAAGTAAACTCTAATAGAGGAATTTACTGGGGATTAACAAACAGACTGGAAGACCTAGATTACGCTGATGATATATGCCTCCTAGCACATACAAAACAGGACATGCAACTCCAAGTAAACAAAGTACAAGAAGAATCAAAGAAGGTTGGTCTAGAAATAAACATCAACAAAACCAAAGAAATGCGACTTGGTACCAGAAACAACCAACCTATTATGATCAACGACCAGAAAATTGAGAGAGTAGCGGAATTTGTATATCTGGGCAGCATAATTGACTGTAATGGGGGTACAGAGCGTGATGTACATGAAAGAATAAATAAGGCTCGCAACGCCTACAACATGCTTAACAACATATGGAAATCCAGGATTTACCCAACTAAAACGAAATTAAAAATCTTCAACACAAATGTAAAAGCTGTATTACTGTATGGCTGCGAAACGTGGAAGATATCAGCACCCATAGTACACCAATTACAAGTTTTCATCAATAGAGCGTTACGAAAAATCCTTCGTATATTTTGGCCTAACCGAATCTCCAATGAAAATTTATGGAACCAAAGCAACCAAGAAAATGTCATAAAGCAAATAAGGCGAAGAAAATGGAGATGGCTGGGCCACACACTCCGTAGACCGCCAACTGACATTGCCAGAACAGCGCTGGATTGGAATCCCCAAGGCCGACGGAAAGTAGGCAGACCTAAGGGAACTTGGAGAAGGACAGTACTGGACGAAGGGAGAAAAATGGAAAAATCCTGGCTTGAAATCAAAGCACTAGCCAGAAATAGAGTTCGCTGGAGACACTTTGTGGAAGCCCTATGTTCCTCTTAGGAATCTTGGGACTATATATATATATATATATATATATATATATATTATATATATATATATATAAACGCGTACCGTTGCACAGTTTTGGTTGGTTTATGTTTCAAAGCATGATTACTACGGAGCCAACCTTTAGGCGTAAATTGTACGGTGGTAAGCCAGGCACGTATAAAGAGTTTAAAAATTCAATTGGATAGTTGGTGGCTTCATCTTCATTTGTGACGCAGTCAATAGATTTGAATGAATGCATTGTTCCAATGATCTTATTCTGAATTATGTAGTTCAGGTCATCTACATCTTTATTCTTAGCCGCTAAAATTGCTCGCTCACTCAACCATTCATTATTTTTGTAGTTAGAAATAATATTTGGAAATACATTGTTGATAAGTTCGTCTTTTGATGAAACAAAATTACAGAAATTATTTGGGAATGATATTAATCCGCTCGATTCATCGACAGGTACTTGACCATTACCGATAGTCAGCAATTGCTCCGAGAAATCTTCAGCAGATGTATCATTAAGCAATGTAACTCTCATGTTTGTTGTCAGCTGCAGTTTCTTCACATAGCGCCATAGATTTGACGATTTGAGGCAAGCGTTTATTTCATCGGCAGCCGTAGATCTTGGAATTACTACTATCGCGTTTTTCCAATTGTTCACCAACAATCAGGATGGCAACTTCGTCTACTGTTGGAGCATTAAATGTGCGTTCGTGTGTTCCAGATGGTCGTTTATCTGCTTTGATGACAACTTTATAGTCATCATTTGGCATGCGCTCTAAAGCACTCTTAAACAACCTGACCAACGCATGATGTTCATGAAGCAGACACTGCAAGTCTTGAATAATTGCTCGCTTCATTCCTGCATTGATCCCTAGGCGTCGATCAAGTTGTTCTTCCATGTTGCCCATGAAATATATTTGTAAAAATTTCATTCTGTGTATCTTCGAAAGGTAGTAATGATCCAATTCGATGGTGAATCTGTCCTTGTATCTACAAAATAAAAACCAGACAGTATTAACTGGGTTATAAACACTTTTTCTGTGGGAGAGTAGAGTTCAGTATTAGCAAATATAATACATACCAATAGATAAAGTAAGTTATTCTTTAACTACATTCTATGTAAGTACAAAAATAAATACCTTAAATGTCGGATTAAATCCTCCCTCTTCGATAATGTCTGCCCCAAATGACGTCATTTGGAAACAACTATTGTATTTTCGAGTATTTTCAAGAAAGTGGCGTGATTCTTGTGTTTCGCCACAAAGCAATGAATACAATGGCTCATATGGCGGAGTCAACACTGGCAATTTCACTTTACCATTAAGGCAACATAATCCAGGCGTTTCTCCGGAAAACTTTAATGCGCCACAATACTCGCAAACAACGTCCATTTGCCCAATGCAAACGCTAGGATGCAAGCTGTAATCATTGCTGCAATCGTATCGAAACGCTGCTCGATTTAAATCAGCTAAATATCTTGTTCTGCTCGCAAATTATCTATTTGTTGCCTTCTGTTGTTCGCTCGACGATTCTGCATTGTCAACCGAGCTGTTTCACGGGCTGCTTCACTTTGCTCTCGTGATTGAGAAGCACGAAGTCGAGCCATACTATCGCGGCGCTGTTCACGTGCAATTTCTTGTTCTTCTTCAGTCCTTTCATTTGCAGTATTTTGTATTATTCTTGCATTACGGCTTTGTCGGGAAAGATTCGATCGTCTTGGTCGCGGCATTACTAATTAAACTTCACTTCACTTCAATTACGGCTTTGTCGGGAAAGATTCGATCGTCTTGGTCGCGGCATTATTAATTAAACTTAACTTCACTTCAATTCACTTGTTAATTATTTATTTAATAGAAATAGTTTTAATATTGATTTCTTACAAATATCAAATTGTCATCCATACGTCATTTTACGTCAATTACATAGCTGTCATTTGCGTTTTGTTATTCCAAGTCTGATTCTTTTTTGTTATACCACGTTTTATAGTGACTGACGTTTCATGTCAAGTCACACGGGAACGCTGTCGAACGGGATAAAAAGTATCCTATGTCCATCTCCTGGCTCTAAGCTACCTCCCTACCAATTTTCAGCCAAATCTGTTGTGCCGTTCTTGAGTTATAAGTGGTGTAACTAACACGACTTTATTTTATATATATATATATATATATATATATATACATATATATATATATATATATATATATATATATACATATATATATATATATATATATATATATATATATATAGATTACTACAAATAAATACTCAACCATTTAAAACTAACATACTCCAAATCTATACCCCGACTGCAGATAGAAAATAATACCATGAAGTCAAGAAGTTGTATGATCAGATCCAAGACATCTTACAGAAACTTAATAAACACGAAATTTTTTATATTATAGGCGACTTCAATGCAAAAATTAGAAAAGGTCGATGAGGTCAGACTGTAGGTCCTTATGGTATAGGACAACCTAACGATCATTGCAAATACCTGGTATAAACTACCCAAGTGACGACTATATACTTGGAAAGCCCCATTTGATAATAGCAATAACCCTGAGTCCTCAAAAAATCAAATAGACTATATACTTGTAAATAAGCGGTTCTGAAATGCCGTCAAAAAAGTCACTACATTTCCTCGGGCAGATATTGGATCTGATTATCAACCACTTGTAGCAGATGTTAAACAAAGGTTAAAACGAATTCAGCGACAAAAACCAAAAACCAATGTACTTAACTTTGACGATATAAACATAAAACATAACATTAAACAAGAATTTAACAATAGAATAAAAAACATCGGAGAACAACTAGGAGATCCAGAAGAACTATGAAGTGAATTTAAAAACCAAGTTAACGAAATCTCCACAACCTATGAATATAGAAAAAACTTAACCAAGAAAAATAAATGTATGACGGACGACATCTTGAAATTAATGGAACAACGGCAACTGATAAAATCTAATGAATCAGAATATTGACACCTGCAGAGAAGAATAAAAAGGGAGATTAAATTAGCCAAAGAAAAATGGATGAGAGAAAGGTGCGACGAAATGAATGATGTAAAATCTAAAACCGACTTGTTTAATGTGCACAAACAACTAAAAGAAATGAGTAACATATTTAAAAAACGAGTTCCCTCTGTACTCTGACAATAATAACACAATTATTGTAAATGAGCACAAAATAAGAAAAGGATGGCAGAAAAAAGAGAAAGACCCCGCCTTAGTTGGAGAAAAGGCATCAATAGAGAAATGAAAGACAGAGATATAAAAGAATACTTGTAGATGAATCGAGAGGAGTGGCAACTGGGTATCGGAAGATGTAGGAGAACGTTTTAAACCGATCTATATATATTTTATATGTTCAATCTCTTAGTTGCTGTTTTGGCCGTACTTATTTGGTTCTATAATTTATATCTAGCATACAAGATCTCTTAGTATTGTGTGGGAGCATGGGTCAGCTCATTGATGTGTCGTTTACCTTCTTAAGTACTTTTCCCGCTTGGTGTGTCTATACAGGAATCTACAGTGTGTCACCATTTTTTGTCTTTGATGTTATTCAATACATACTTAAACAAGTTTTTTAACGCATTTATCATATTTAACTAAACATTTTTTTAGATAAGGACCTATTAATATCCAACGCCATCTTTTTGTTAATGGCTGGCCAAGAAACCACTAGCTCTACAGTTGGTTATACCCTATATGAATTGGCTCTTCATCCAGATATACAGGAAAGGTTAAGAAATGAAGTTAAAGATAACTATGAAATGTACGAAGGGTTTACATACGAAGGGATACAGAAAAATAAATATTTGGTTATGGTTATCAATGGTAAATAAAGCAATTAATTATATAAGAAAAATAAATATCTTTTTAATTTTATTAAGGCTATAGAAAAGAATAGAAAAATATGTTGTATTGTTACTGAAAAGTGTACAATTTTTTGGACAAAGCTTAGAAATTAATTACTATTAAACTGGGAATAAGCCACAATTAAAGATATTTAATTTATTTTTTGTTGAACAAGATATTGTAAGTATTGAAGATTTGCTTTTCAATGTGATATGAAATTCTGATTTTGATCAAATTATTTTTGGTTTACATATAGTATATGAAAATTCATATAGAAAACAAAGAAATATACATTTAAATAAATTTAATATTCTTTTAGAACAAAACAGTATACACACTTTAGATAACCTTAATAGAAATGATGACATATTAGGGACAGTTGTCAATCTATCAAATAGACATTTAAATGCAACGGAGAATTTAATACTGCCAAAGGGTCTAAACTTCGCTATTACTCAGCCATCCGTTCCAAAATTAGATATAATAAGCTCAGTGGAGAAAATATCTCAATGCTTACCAACCCACGAACAGGAAGAATACAGAGTGTTATGTAAACTTGAATTGGAAAAATCTACTAAAATTGAACAAAACATAAGCAAAGAGGAACTAAAGGCTATAAGAACTTTAAAAAATGACGACTCCATAATCATTCTACCAGCAGACAAGGGAATGCAACTGAGATAATGGATAAAATTCAATACGAAAATAAAATTAAAGATCTGTTAATAAACGGACCTTATACAAAATTATCAAAAGATCCAACAAAGTCTTTGGAAAACAAAATATATAGAACTTTATTCAAGTTTGAAGATGTTTTAACAAGTTATCAGAGAGGATTAATTACACCTCATTACAGTAAGACTCCTCATTTTTATGGAGTACCGAAAATTCATAAAACGAATATACCACTTAGACCCATTTGTAGTACCATGAATTCTCCTTGTAGTGAACTATCAAAATTTTTATTAAATATTTTAAAACCATTTACAAATAAAAATGACACATTCATAAAAAATACACAACATTTTTTAAATAAATTATCAAATATTGAATTTAATTCAAACCATACTTTGGTAAGTTTTGACATAAATAGTTTATTTACGAATGTGCCATTAAATAAGATTTTAAGTATAGTCAAGAGAAAATTAGAGAGTGATGATTCATTGGCAACTAGAACAAGACTAAACATATCGGCTATAATGGAGTTATTAACATTATGTACTGATAATACATATTTTCAACTAAATAATGAATTCTATAAACAAAATTTTGGTCTAGCAATGGGCTCTAGTTTATCTCCATTCTTAGCCGATATATTTATGGAAGATTTTGAAACAAATATCATTGCTAAACAAAATTTCAAACCCACAGTATGGTGGAGGTATGTAGATGATGTATTCTCAATATGGCCTCATGGATCAGAGTTGTTGGACACATTCCTAAATGATATAAACGATAAAGAAGAGACAAAAATATTTACCATGGAAAAGGAATATAATAAACGCTACCTTTCCTGGATGTTTTAATCTCTAAAAACGATACTGGACATGAGACTCAGGTGTATAGAAAACCAACATACACCAATAAATATTTAAATTTCAAATCAAATCACAATATTAATGTAAAAAAGGGAATAATTAAATCCTTATACGATAGAGCCAAAATTACTTGTTCTAACGAAAATTCGTTCTTGGAGGAGAAACATTTGTTAACATCTGTTTTATTAAAAAATGATTATCCTTTATCGTTTATAAATAAGGAATTTTCAACAATCGATCGAATAGAACAGAACAACTTAGAACGAGATCCTACAGCATACACAAGGAATAATATGAGGAAAATAACAATACCGTACATAAAAGACTATCAGAAAAACTTAAAAGGATAGGAAATAAATTCAACATTTCAACAACATTCAAAACAACAAACACGTTGAGATCTATTTTGTCCAAAACCAAACCTAACAATGAACAAGAAAGGACAAAGAATTGCATTTATAAAATACCTTGTGAATGCGATCAGTTTTATTTAGGTGAATCATCAAGGCCATTAAATGTTAGAATAAGTGAACATCAATCTTATATTACAAATAGAGAATTTGATAGATCTCAAATCTGTACGGATGGTAAAAAAAGAAAAATCAAAGAAGCGGCTCTAATTACGCTAAATGAGGCCAATTGTGTCGGAAATTCCTCGGCAGAATGTAGTAGGATCTGGTTACCAATATTGAAAGAGGAAGTTATTAATAACAAAATACCAGTATTAGTAAGTCAGTAACATATAGAGGATACATCATTTATGTTTTTTAAATAACGTAACATATAAAATCAGAATTTTGATGTTTGTTGAAGGTAAACTAAATTCACGAACAAATACTTACAATGTCAGGATAGTATTATGAGGTTTTTTTCCTGGTTTTTCCCTCATAATTTACTATGGAATCACTAACAGGAGAATTTTACTGTCATCATGTCATGTGTTTGTCTTTTTAAAGACGAATTACATGCTATGATTTGTTCTGACGGATATTCTCAAGTTAAAATTGATTTCATGTAATCGAATGAACTATCTTATAAGTAAAGTCGTACCAGGAGCGCAACTCAACAATATTGGCAATATCATTTTAAAGTCGTCTACTTTAAAATGCATAATGTTTGTCTGAATTGTCAATATAAATGTGTCAGATAAAATTAAATTATTAGAAGAATTTTTCACTATGTAACAAAAAACAAAATTTGTTTAATTTACTGTTTGTATTTTGAGAACGATTTCCGAAGTGGAAATTGAAACGTCAATAAACGTATTTTTATCTTTAATTGTGGCTTATTCCCAGTTTAATAGTAATTAATTTACAATGCCACAAGAAAATAGCTTCAGAACAATATAAAGCTTAGAAAAAAAAAAAAAACAATAATTTACTAAAATTACATAAATCGTCAATATTACAGAATAAAACATAATAAAATATACAATCCATTGCAAAATCATATTGCAAATTGCTTAATAAAACCTTACCAACTAGTTTACGAATAAGTTTAAGCTGCTGCATGTGATACCCAAATATATATATATATATATATATATATATATATATATATATAATATATTATATATATATATATATATATATATATACTTTGTTGCTTATACCTAAACGTACTGTACTTTCTTAATTATTCGTTAAGAAAGTCTTTCACTGAATAATAAGGTCTTTAAGATATATTGGCTTTTGTCAATTTACGGAACGAAAGGTAAGAAGTTGTAGATTTAAGTTGCAAGGGGAGATGGTTGTATAATCTTTTTGCCGAATAGAATATGTAGATTTCTTTACTAACTCATCGGGATCGGTAAATAAACATCAAAGCTTGAATTTCTGGTGGTGTAGTGATGACTAGGTCTTGCTGTAAAAACATATGTAGGTGTTTACAAATTAAGCAAACAGTTTCAGCAAACAGAATATGTAGAGGGGGAACAGTTAAAATCTTGTGATTTTTGAAGTAGCTTTTGCAATGTGTTCTTCTACTGAGGCCAAAAGATACCGTATTGCTCTTTTTTGTAATTTAAAAATAACATCAGATTGGGCAGCTGTATTAAAACGCCAAAAGAAAAGCCATATAAAAATAAGACTCGAACAAACAAAAGAACGTTATTTTGGAAAATGCTAAATTCATTTCCTCATTCTATAAAACAGATCTTATTGCATAGCAGGCTGATGCTAGTTTTTAACTTAACAAATCGATATGAAGGGACCATTTAAGGTTGCTGTCTATGAAAATATGAAGAAATTTTACAGAATCAATTATACTGATCTGATTATTATTAAGATGCAAGAGCTCCTTAATAGAATAATGCTACTGTCTTATCCACGTTAAAACAGATTACATTAGGGTCGGACCAGGCTTTTATTTTAAGCAAATCAGACAGCATAAAGAGTTGCAATATTAGAGTTCTTCTGTGATTAGAGTTCTTCTTCAGTGATGCCATTTATAAAGATAAGGAAAAGTAGAGGTCCCAGTACTGAAACTTGTGGTACTCCACATACAATGCTTTTGTGACTGCCCATAGCTTGGTTTACTATTGTTTTCCATTCTTTTCTGTTTGTTGCTTTATTTTTCCAGTTTGGTATTTTAAGTTTTTCTATGTCTTTTTCAACATCCTTCTTACACCTGGTTTTCGGTCTGCCTTTCTTCCTTTTCCCTTCTATTCTTCCATTAGCATTATTTTTGGCAGTCTCGTGTTTCCCATCCTTTGGATGTGTCCCAACCATCTTAGTCTTTGTGACTTTATGATCCCTACGATATTCGGTTCTCCATACATCTCCTCTAATTCCATATTTGGTCTTTTTATCCATATACGATTCCATATTTTACCTCCAAATATTTTCCCGAGGACTTTTCTTTCCCAGACTTGTAGCTCGGATTTGTTCATTCTCCATGTTTCACTGGCATATAATACAATAGGTCTTATTACTGTCTTATATATTCTTATCTTAGCCCTTCTAGATATGTTTTTGCTTCTTAATAAATTGTTTAGTGCAAAAATACAACGGTTACCGGCCATAATTCCTCGCTTGGATTTCTTCCTTCATATTTGGTCTTCTCGTGAACGTCGCTCCTAAGTACTGGAATATTTTTACTTCATCGAATTTATATGTTTTTTCATCTGTTATTACTGTCAGATATTGTTCTTGTAAGTAATCTCTTTTCTGTCCATTCCATATATTTGGTCTTTTCTTCATTTATGTACATCCCTTTCTTTCTCGCTTTCATTTCTAATCTTTTTGTTATTTTCTTTTAATTCTTGCTTACTTCTGGCTATCAGTACAATGTCGTCAGCGAATGCTAAGCATTGGTATTTTCTTTGATATATAAGTCCTGACCTGTTGATTCCAGCTTCTCTGATGGTAACTTCGAGGACGATACTGAACAACAGCGATGACAGTGGGTCTCCTTGTGGCACCCCCTCACTGACCTCAAACTTATCTGTTTCTTCGCCATTTATTTTAACCCTATTCTCTGTTCTTCGTAGTGCCACTTTTAACATTCTTTATGTTCAGTCATTATCTATATTTTGAGATAGCTTATCTTTTATATATACTGCAAGTATTTTATATGTAACATTTAGTAGGGCCATTCCCCTGTAATTGTGGCATAAACTTTTGTCGCCTTTTTTGTAAAAAAGGCACAGTGTCGCTTCGGTCCATTCCTTCGGTAATTTTTCTTGTTCCCATATGTCTTTAGCAACTTTTCCAAATGCTTAATTAGTGCTGGTCCTCCATATTTAAACATTTCAGCTGTTACTTCGTCTCTTCCTGAGCTCTTATTATTCTTTAGTTTCTCTGTTATTTCTTTTATTTCTTTTTCGTTAGGCGGTCTTTCCTCTATTCGTTCTTGATCGACATTTTCCTTCACTTCTTCGTCCTCTTCATATTTTGTTGTGGGAATTTTATTTAAAAGCTCTTCAAACTATTCTTTCCATCTGCTCAATATTTCTTCGTCACTTACTAAATTTCTTCTACTTTTGTTTTTGTAGTGTACAGGTTTTCCTGGGTACCCCTTTTTCTTATTTTTCACCCCTTGATATAAGTTTCTAATTTCTCTATTTTTATAGCTCTGTTCTATACATTTTAATTTATCTTCATTGTATTTTCTTTTCTTTGATCTTATTATTCTTTTGACTCTTTTCCTTTGTTCATTGTATTTTCTCTCTATCTCTGTTGTTTTTTCTTGCATCATTTTCATTCTTAATTTATTTCGTTCATCTAGTTCCATTTTACATTCATCGTCGAACCATTCTTTGTATTCGTGTTTTATATTTCTATTACTGGCCTGAGCTGCTTTGGTCATACATACTTTTATTTGCATCCATGTTTGTTCAATATCCCCACTTTCTGCAATATTATCTAATCCTCTACTGACTATTCTTTCATATTTATTTTGTTCCTCTTCTGTCAGTAGTCTCACAGGTTTAGTTGCTTGATACTTTTTCTTCCGCTGGTTTCTAAGCACTGGAATAAGTTGTTTTATTTGTATTCCAACTACAAAGTGATCTGAGTCTGCATCAGCACCTCTGTATGTTCTTATGTTCTTTATACATTTTTGTCTATTGTCATTTGATTATAAAAGTCTTCCTTTATTTCTATACTTTTGTCTTCAGTCGGTGCATATATATTTATAAATGTTATTTTTGGTATTTTCCTCTTATTCTTAACACACATATTCTCTCTGAAATTGGTTTTAAAGTCAACGATTAGATCTTTCAGCTTTTTATTTATTACAAAGCCTGTGCCTAACATTCTATTTTCTGCTCCGCTGTTGAAAAATAGTCGTTTATTTCCATTGAGTTTTACCTTAATTGTTTTGTTTCTTGTAGTGCTACTATTTCGAACTTGTATTTTTTGCATTCGTCGATTATGTGTTTTAGTTTTCCTTTTTCGTACGTTCATCTTACATTCCATGTCCCTACTAATATGCATTCGTTTATTACTTTGTTTCCAGTAATGATCTTTACATTTTGTTCATCTCTTGTACCTTTATCTTGCCAAGTCGTTCTTCATTATTTTAGCCTGTTTAAATTTTGCTGTTAGTTTTTTGGTTTTACATTTTTATCTTTTACTAATTGTCGTTGGCTGTTATTCCATGTCCATATTTCTCCATCTATGATTAGCTTCTGGAATCTTATTTTTATATTTTTTCCATTATATCTCTCTGCCATAGCCTTACTTCTAATTTCTTTCTGGATAATTCTTTCCTCCTTTGACATATCATCATTTATGTAGATTCGCTCGTCTGTTTTGTTTTTTAGTTTATTTTTATTTTTCATTACTTAAATTTTGTTCTTCACGCTGTTAAGTTCCACTAAGGCAGTATTTTCTCCTATTTTTCTCGCTCTATTTACATCTACTGACACTTGTAGTTCTTTTTCTAGAAAGTTCTCTACGCCCTCTCGCAATAGTTTTTGATCATTTATGTCAATGTTTAGTCCTTGTATTACTACATTTTTTTTTATCTCTCCAGTTTCTCTATTTTTTTGTTTGCTGCAGTAATTGCCTTCTCTAATTGGCCTATTTGTTTAATAGCTTTTTCGTTTGATTCTCGCAACTTTCTTATTTCATTATTGTAGTCGCTTTGTTGATCTTTTAGTTCTATAATTTCCCTCTTCTTTACGGATAATCTATCAGTACTACAGGATAATTTGCTTTTGATAGTACTGATTGTTTGAATCAGTTCAGATTTATCAACTGGTCTTATAGAGAATGAATTTGGGACCTTTTTTGAATTAGGAAGATAGGAAATAGTGAACGCATATTCTTGTCTCATATGCGGATACCCTTGGTAGTCCAGGGTTTGTGATATTTTGACTTAATTGTAATTAACGGACATGTCTTATTGAAAATACAGACAAACTTATCTAACCATAACTGAAATTGTAGTCCACGCCCACAGAGGGAAAGTGCCATCCAGTAGGCAAGCACAAATTTTGGAATTTACGAAAGTTCTGGGGTGAGAAATCTGAGACAATATAATCAATTATGGTAGATGTTCTTTAGTAATTCTGGTAGGAAAATTAACGTGTATTGGACCTTCGTTTGCTCGTTGAACGTAGCTTGGGCTCCCATTCTCGGATCAAGGTCTTTCAGCATACGTAGGTCGTATGATTGTGCTTTCCTTTTCTGAGCGGTTTTGAGTTTTACTCGAACTACTCCCACTAGTGGAACGTGGTCTGTCTCCAAGTATGCTCCAGGATAAGTCTTAACAGACGTAAAGCTGGTTTGGAATTTTTTATTTACTAAAATGTATTCTATTTGATTTCTAATAATTCTCGCAGGTCAAGTATGTACGTGGCACGGTCAAATCCTAGAGTTTTGGTTTTTGGAGGAGTTCATTTCTACTTCCATTCTGGTACTCGACTTCGACAGGACAATAATTACTGTCTGAGTACCACAGTATCGTCTAAGTATCTTTGTCACACTTCCGTTCATTTTGATACGTTCTGGGAATTATTCTAGAAATTCCTTAATTTTAAGTTCCGTATAGACGTAAAAGACAAGTGGAAGCAGGAGGTATCGCGGACCTATTTTGTTTTATGCTGTAGTTGATGTGGTTGCTATTTTCACTGTTCGGAACTTATTTTTATTCGGTACATACTCTTTTAAAACATTTAAAACTGAATAAAGCAACGAATGAAACTTACCGTTCTGTTTTAGAATCTTTAAGAAAATATGGGGTTTTACCATTTCTCGACAGAGAAGCTGTCACCGATTATCGCCTTGAAGGTACAGATCTCGTCGTTGAAAAAGGAATGACAGTTTACATTCCCTTATTTGCTTTTATGAGGGATCCCAAATATTTTCCTAATCCTGAAGAGTTTGACCCTGAAAGATTTGCTGATAATAATTTTAACACAGATGAGTTGCTTTATTTTCCATTTGGAGAAGGACCAAGAGCTTGCATAGGTAAGTCAGGTATTTATGTAATAGGTTATACACATCTGTATATAGGTTTATAAAATTAAAACCTATATCAAAAAGCTTTTTTATTGAGCCAATTCTAAATTTTACGTATTTTAAAATTGTTTCTTTACAACTATTAAGGGTTTACAGTTTGTACAATACCGTAAAATAATCATAGCGAAAATTGAAGAAATTTATACAATTTTTTAATATATTTTATAAAGAATATAGGTACTACTAAAAGTACTCGTATTTAAACGGTTCTGCGCTACTGAATATACAATATCTTCTTCTTTACGTGCCATTCTCGCGACGAAGGTTAGCATTGCTATTCATCACACTGCTATTCTAACTTTTGAACTACAACCCGAAAGAGTTCAGTTGAGCTGCATCCAAACCATTCTCTGAGGTTTATCAGCCAGGACATTCTTCTGCTACGTATGCTGCGCTTTCCTTAAATATTTTCCTGCATTATTAGTTTTAGGAATTCATATCTGTCACCACGTGTTGTAACCTCGGAAACCTTTTTTGGATGGTGCTAGAAAGGTCACCAATGGAGACACTGCGGACGGCAGCCAGATTGTTGGTGGAGAGCAAGTGGTGGGTTCGAAACTAGCTTTTGGAACCGAGAATGAGTCCAACGGACGAAATAAGTAAAGATAGAACAAGAAAAGATATATTAGAAAAGATACAGAAATAAAAAAAAAGGTAGATGGGTAAAATTACCAAAGATACGATAAGGTAGAATCAGGGTGCCACTCAATTTTTTGGGGTTAAGGCGAAAATTAAGAAACGAGGTAAGGAAAAATATTTAGGTTCAGAGATCAAACCCAAGGAAAGATACCAACAGTTAATTATTAAATAAATTTGATCAACACACTATATAAACAATTAATAAATATATTACTTACCTACGAAACTTAATGAGTCTAATCTTTCTTCTGGTCAAAGGTATAGTAATAATTTAAGGTAAAAAGCAAATATTCAGAGCTACTATTTTATCAGGGAACTTGTTAGGAACCGACAAATAAAATACATACATAAAACAATAACAATATATTCAACAACAAAATTATGACGCTGCTGAATGCAACACAAGTAATAAAAGTACACCAACAACTATAAAATGGTGGTATACATATAAAAATAAGCAGTAATATAATTAGAAAATCCCTTTAGAAAGATATCTAATACAATCATGTACAAATAAAGCTTTGGCGTATCTCGAGATATTACAGCAAAAAAACACAAAAGATAACAAAAATTAATCAATTATAAATTTACAAAAATACAAAAAGGTTACAGAAATGAAAACATAAAAATTTAACTAAACCGCACTTGGTTAAGTGGATTAACTATCTCGCACTATTATTTAATGAGAAACTGAGACTTAAATGTTCGTAATTATTGCTTATTGAAATTTTTTGAATCTATTAAAATGTTCTTTAAATTGAATGCAAAAATCAGCAATCTGCAGGTGAAGACATGGAGGAATTTAGACACGTCCAGATAATGGCAGATGATATGATACCATATCATATTACTTGCCCAGATAAGTGGAGATACTAAGATTATTGTAACTTACAGTAATTTTTGATGACTGCTGCCTAATTCACTAAAGCTACTACTATATTTGTATTAAACGCTGAATTTAATTAACATTTAAGGTACACTTTATTACAATATATAATCTAATATAGTATAAGATCAAAAAGACTCAAATAAATAAGTGTATACACACTTAGAAAACAATTCACAGACGGTCAGATAACAAATAAAGTGAGCAAAGCGTCTCACGAGAAATCTGCCTTTACTCCACAACGGCCCACCGAGAAGTAACCTGGTTTTTCTCAAATTTTACAAACTACCCAAGAAAAAAGAGGGGATATCTCCCACTTAGAAATCATAGGCCAGTTGTATGTAGTTCTGAGAAGGTAAGAATGTTCTAATGGACAAAAGAAAAGACGAAAAGTTTGAGGTATTTACGGTAGGTACTAGTAATTGGACGTGATCAAATATACAATCCTTTGGATTATGTTATTGTCAAAAGATTACTATACGTGCCTTCGGCGAAAATTACCAATTTAGGAAAAAGAACCCGCATACCGAAAAGCATTAGTTCCTTTCATACTCGGAATTAAGAAGGAAAGGATTAACAACCTTTCTAAATTAGGGAAATTTCGTGTTATTTTGGTAGGTAAATTCTTCCGTCATCAACATTTCTAATCGTACACACGACCATCGGCGTATCATCCACATGGGTAAAAGGATAAAAATAATTAATATTTTAATTACATAAAAAAATTTTACAGTGTTATATGACCCAGATATTGTAGTTTTCTTATTTTGATGGAATCCAATATCTCCCTGCTGTTCTCTACTCTTCTTAGTACTTCTTCATTGGTTATGTCTATCCAGCAGATTTTCAGCATTCTTAGATATGTCCACATTTCAAATGCTTTCAATTTATTGAGACATTGTTTATTTAAAGTCAATGTCTACACCATACAAAAGAACAGAAAATACATATTAGTTACTTTAGTACCTTTAATACTTTATTTAGTACTTGTTTTCTAAGATTTAGGCTGAGGTCCCTTCAACATAATATTTGTTTCATATTATATAATGCACTTCTAGCTTTTTCTATTCTAATTTCTTTGGTATAATAGTTTGTTTCATTATTATGAAACAAACTTATTGAAGTCAAACAGACTTATTCAAGTCTGAACTCGTTCTATTGTCTTATTATTTATGTGTAAATTGATGTAACTAATATTTTTCTTTGATATAACCATGAATTTTGTTTTCTTTCTGTTGAGTTACATATAAAAACATATAATATAAAATACCACAAATTGTGATTTTGTTTGTGAGTAAAAATTCGTAGTTTTTAAAACGGGTTCATATAAATATTTAGGTGGACATGACAAAAGGAAACGAAAAGCAGATCGAGATAAAGTGGAAAAACAAATGAAACGATCTTTCAAAATTTTTTTAACTGGAGATGGAGAACAATTTACAACAATCGTAATCATTTTCACTAATTTCACTTGCTCACATTCCAGAAGCATCATTTAGGCTCGAGACTATTCTGCAAAATGATCAACAGAAAAAACCAAGCAATCCGATTGTAAAGATGAAACAAAAGAAGAAAATATAAATTTAAAATGATCTTAAAATAATGATGAAACTGAGAGATTTGTAAAATATATTGCATTATGGCCAGAATAGTTAATAGATGTCATGCGAAAGTATTATATAAAAAATTCACCAAAATCAATAAGTAGATCTTTGGAATCATCTTCTATTCGATGCAGCGAAGCGTCAAAACAAATCACAAGAAAATTAACTATTGCCTCTTTCTTCACAACAATTAATAGCAGGGAAAAAGTTAAAAGTGATTGGTTGGCATTTACTGAAACCAGCAACTTATTGCACCTACTGTTACGGATGTAAATTATTTTCCAAGCAAACAACGCTAATGGCAAAAGGGACGAATAATTGTAAAAATGAACATAAAAAATTGCCACAGTATGAAAACTCCAGTGACCACATTAACTCAATTTTAATTTTTATAACAAGATTTAATTTAAAGTTTTATAATAAGTAAAAATTAAGTGTTTTTTGAATGTAAGAGTTAAGTGACTCCAATATCGAATAAAACAACATATTTTTCTGTTTATTTTATACTTTATAGCAGTGTGGTCCAAACTTTTAGACGTTGTGGGCCGAATAAAATTATTATGAAGGGCCACAGAACTTGACCCGTTCAAAAAAAGTTTATTTTAAAAAAATAATATACAAACGAAATATTATTCACAAGTATTTTATTATGGTTTACAATTTACATGTTATGTTTAATTTAACATAAAATAAAAAATCAATGGGATATTTGAGGCAAGGGTTTATTCTCTACTAAATTTTGCACATCTATACCTATGCTAGTCATATTGAGTCTAATACATGTTTTTAGAGAATCGTTTTCCATGCGATTACGTGTTTTAAATTTAATATGCTTCAAATCAGAAAATGTACTTTCGCATATATACGTACTACCAAACATTGGATATAGTTTCAACGCAAAGTTACGAAGTTTAGGAAAACGATCCCTGGAGACTAACTTCCAAAAGATACTAATGTGTTAATTTTTCTTTGCTTAAAAAACGAATCGGAATGTAGTTTCTTCTTCTTCTTTTGGCATCATAACCCTGGATGGGTCTTTGCCTGTCTGGCTATGTCCTTCCATTCAGATCTCTCTTGTGCCCTTCTTCTCCATTGTCTTATGTTCATTGTTTTCAGGTCGTCTTCCACGTCATCCAACCATCTCGTTCTGGGCCTTCCTTTTTTTTCGCCTTCCTATGGGCTTCCATTGTAACATTTTCTTTGTTGTTTTTGCATCGTTTTGTCTCTGCACATGTCCCAGCCATGACAGTCTTTGACTTTTCACAAATCTTACAATGTCATAACCTTCATTTAACTCATTAACCTCGTCGTTTCTCCTGATTCTCCATGTGCCATCTTCCTCTTGTACCGGGCCATATACTTTCCTCAGTATTTTTCTCTCGAATGTCCTGAGTTGGGCTTCATCTTTTTTCGTCATTACCCAAGTTTCACATCCATAGGTTACTACGGGTCTAATCAGTGTTCTGTAGATAGTCATTTTGGTTCTTTTGTCTAATAATTTCGATGTCATCAATCTTTTATTAGCATAGTATGTACGATTCCCGCTGGAAATACGTGCATTAATTTCGCTACTTACGGAGTTCTTCTGATTGATTTCTGTGCCGAGATATGTAAAGGCATCCACTCGTTCGATAGTATAGTTGTCTATTGTGATATTATTTTCATTGTCAGTTATTCTTTTGACTGTCATATACTTCGTTTTTGCTTCGTTTATTTTGAGACCTCTTTTTCTTGCTTCAGTATCAATTTGTTTGAACACTTCCATTAGTCGTGGCTTATTCCTACTAATGATGGCTACATCGTCTGCATATGCAGTAATTTGTACTGATTTGGTGTTTATATGGCCGGTTATATTGGTTTTTCTGATGACTGCCTCAAGAACTAGGTTGAATAGCATGGTTGATAGGGCATCTCCCTGTCTTACTCCCATGTTGATGTTAAACAGGGGAGTCAGTTCTCCATCTACTCTGACTGCGGCTTTTGAACCCTGCAACGTCATTTTTATGAGGCTGATGTATTTCTTAGGTATACCTAGATTACAAAGGTCTTCCAGCATTCTGTCTCTTTTCACACTATCAAAAGCTTGTTTAAAGTCTATATACATATTATATAGGTCTATGTCGTATTCATAAGCTTTTTCTTGTATCGTTCTTAGTATGAATATGTTATCTGTAGTGGCTCTATTTGGTCTGAATCTCATTTTGATAATCACCAATTATATTTTCGGAGTATTCTAATAATCTATTGTAGATTATACCAGAAAAAATTTTGTATATTACATTTAGCAATGTAATTGGCCTATAATTCTGGCATTCCCTCTTATCTCCTTTTTTATATATTGGCTGTATGAGACCAACTGTCCATTCCTCTGGCATTTGCTCCTTCGTCCATATTAATGTTATTAGGTAATGGATTCTTTCCCAGGGTTCGGATCCTCCATGCTTTAATAATTCTGCCAAAATCCGTCCGTTCCTGGTGCTTTATTGTTTTTTAGTTTATTTATATCTGAACTACTTCTTCATAACTCGATTTTCGATGTGCAGCTCCGCCGTATAATATATTGTCTCGTTCTGATCATTTTCGTTGTCTGCATTTAGATTTTCTTCGAAATATTGTTTCCATCTCATTATAATTTTTTGCTTCTCTGTTAGTAGTTCTCCGTCCTTGTCTTTGCATATCGTTAGTTTTGGTCTAAATGACTGTGTGCTTTCTTTTATGCATTTATAGAATTTTCTGCTTTCGCGTCTGTTGTTATGCTTTACGATTTTTTGTACTTGTTTTTCATAGCCTCTCTTTTCTTTCTTCTGCATATTCTAGTCGCTTGTATTCTCTTTTCGTTATAAATTTCACTGCTATTTCTTGTGTTTCTTTGAAGTTGGTTAAGCCTAGCTTGCCTTTTTTCCCCTACTGCAGTTCTGCATTCATCATCATACCATTCCGCATTTCTTTGCCTTTTGGCTTTTCCGACAGTTTCCTCTGCTGACTCCGTTATAATTGTTTTAATTGTCTCCATTCCTCCTCTGCAGTATCTTCCTCTCTAGTTCGGTTGAGTTTTATTTGGAGAGCATTTCTGTAATCTTGTCTCTTTGTTGCGCTTTTGAATCCTTCGACATTCCATTTTTTGATTTGAATATTTTTCCTTTTGCTACTGTCGCTATTTTCTGCCGTAATTTTGCCCCTACAAGATAGTGATCTGAGTCAGAGTTCGCCCCGCGATACGTTCTGACATTAGTTATGTCTGTTGCCCATCTTTTTAAGATAAGTATGTGGTCAATTTGATTGGCTTCGTTAGTTCCTGGTATTTTCCATGTTACTTTATGGATATCTTTTTCTCTGGAACTTAGTACTGACAACTACGTAATTATTTGCTGCTTCGAACTGTGCCACCCTGAATCCATTTTGACTGGTTTCAGTGTGCAAACTGTGTTTCCCAAATATATTTGCAAACGTTTCTTCTTTCCCCAGTTTAGCATTAAAATCGCCTAACGTTTTAATAGCAATCGTGTGTTTGGATTTTATCACACACATACTGTAGTTCTCCGTAGAATCTTTCAACGTCTTCTTCATCAGCCTCTTCCGTCGGTGCATATACATTAACCATTGTCACGTTATGAAATTTACTTTAAATCTTATGGTGCAAATTCTATCTGATATTGGTGTAAATGCGATAATGGCTTTCCGCAGTTTTTTGGTTACCATAAACCCTACTCCTCTTTCACCTTGTCTCATTTCATTTCCGGAGTAGTATAGTGAGAATTTATTCTTATGAATTTCTCCCTGGCTCTTCCATCTGATTTCCTGCAGTGCCAATATTTCAACTCCGTATTTTTTAAGTTCTTCTGCCATACTTATCATAGCTCCTGCTTTAGGTTCGCACGTTCCAGGTTCCAAATTTTAAATCCATAATCATGTCCATTTTTCTGTGCTGAGTTTGTCGTTGTGAGATCCGTCCGTTTGTTTCATTAGCCATTGTATTCGCAACAATTGAGTTCTACAAGGAAGGGTTGTTAACCCTTCGCTCAACCCCCTTTTCATCGGAGGACCAAGGCTCCCTTCTTCGTCTGCCCTGACCCCACCATCCACTAGGGTTGGTAACCCAGTCTCCAGTGGGGTTGCTCAGGTTACCGGTGTGTACCAGCTTGGAGGTGAAGATAGGAATTGAGTAGGAGAGGCTAAGTGATGCCAACAGGATACGACATCATGTATTGCGCTTCACTACCCCTTTACACACCTCGGACTGTAGTTTGCACAGCTCTTATTGATATTCTGCTGATTGGTTTTGGATGGTGACTCCCATTGGATTGTTAAAAAGCTCAAGATCGGGTTTTAGTGCATCAAATTCCGAAAACCTTTCATCGAATTCTCTTTTTATTTCATTTCTGTAAGAACTTTTGCAAACCTCAAGAAAATGACCATGGCTTCTTGTAGATTTATTTTGAAACACGCAGGAAAATACTTATGTGAAGTCGTTTATTTTTATGTAGTATTCGAAAAGATAAAGTTTTTTGCAAAATGTCTTAATTTGACCAACAATCTGTGATACTGTCTTATTTTTCTCCTGGAGCTGTAGGTTAAATGTGTTCAAGTGAGAGGTAATGTCTGTTAGAAATGCCAGTTCATGAAGAAATGTTTTGTTCTCAAGCTTTGTTATAAATACGTCCGTGTTAATAACAATTTTCGTTTCAGAAAACAGTAGGATCTCTTAAAAAAATTCTAATTTAAATTTCTAAAGCATTTACCTGCGTTCAACCAGCGAATCTCTGAATGTAGGGGGACGTCCTTATATTCAGTCTTTATTTCCTCCAAGAAAGAGATGAATTTTTCGGTGTCGCTAAGCTCTGTTTCCTCCTCTTAAGCTGTTTACTATTGGGAAACTAAAACACATTCAAAATTTTTGGCCATCTTTTCATCTCCAGAGGATCGCTTCATTTTAAGAGCACACCGCTTGATCATTTCTCCATCTCTAAATGCTGTTTTACTTTTCACAAGCTCTAAACATACTTCATATGATGTTGCTAAGCTTGATGATTGAACAGCTGTCGGCTTTGTAAATAGATATTTTTGTTTATTGAATTTAGCTTTAACTTCTTTTACAAGAGTATTTGACAACAAATAATGCATTGATATTTGCCTTTTAATTAGATGAAGAAATATTGATTTTCCCATTTTTTTTGGAACGTACGATTCTCTTTGTAAATTTTTCGTTTTTTTTGGCACTACTCATTCTAAATTTAACATTAAATTTATTCGCCACTGTTAATTTAACACGACATGTGCAGTTATACGAAACGAACCTGTTTCTAATAAATAATTAATAATAAAGAGAATGATTTAAAAATGCATTGTAGAATATTATATGTAATAAAATAAAAAATTAACATTATGTTAAATACATGAATAGCTACTATTATTGTTATTTCAAAGAATAATTACTTTATTTTTATTATTTTAGGTAAGCGTTTAGGAATGTTAGCTATTGGTGCATGTATATCACATGTACTGTTGAAATTTAAAATTGAGAAATGTCCATCTACTCCTGATCCAGTTGAATTTGAACCGAAATCGTTTGTTCTGCAATCAAAATGTGGACTTCCAATAACCCTAACTCCAATATCATAATATTACGTTAATATTTTATATATACTTGTATATTTTTAGATAAAAGTTAAACATAGTAATAAAAATATATATATCTGCATGCTAGGCTACTCTAATTTATGTTTGTGGATGACCAAATCAGAAGAAATTAATATATACTGTACCTATTTTTTTTATTTAGAAAATGGCATCGACCAAATGGCCATTAGCGAAAAATGGATTACATTAGGTACAATTACTGCATTATAATTTGGCTTATTAAATATTGTGGTACTTATTAATACCTTTCAAGAAATTCAGAGTATTGTTAAAGTTACAGTCTGCACCTAGAGTTTTTAAAAGAGTTTCTGGTATCTTGTTACTTCGCTGTTGATTGTAGATGGGACATTCACATAGTATATGCATTATTGTTAGTGTCATATTACACGTTTCACATTGCGGCGGTTCGCACTTTTTAATTAAGTAATCATAAGTAAAAATAGATTATATCTTAACGAAGAATAGAAACCTAGTAGAAGACGTATCACTGTTAAATCAGTTTGACCTAGGAAGCGATCATAGACTAATAAGAACAAAACTAATAATTAACAAAAAACTAGAAAGAAAAAGAATACATGAAAAAAGATACAAATGGACATCTGAAGAAATCAAAAATAGTGAATTTAATAAAAAGATAGTGCATGCATTAAATCAAGTTAGCATGCAGCAGATAAACTTCAATGATATTGATGATTTGAATAACCTTATTACCGAAACAGTGAATAAAAGCCTTCTGCAACTGAAAAAACCAAAAACAACATACAATGAATTAGACAAAGAAATATTACAACAAATAGAAAGAAGGAAGATCTTAAATAAATCTAATAGAAAAGGAATCAGGCAACAAAAAAGAAAAGAAAACGAAAAATTAATAACAACAACTATTGAAAAAAATAAGAGTATGAAATGCCTCAGACCGACACTAGGACGACGTCAGATGATATCATTAATAGGAAAAGACGAAAATGAAATCACAAGTAGAGAAAACATACTGACACGAATAGAAGAATTTTACACAGAACTTTACAGATCACATCAACAAGATGATGAGATGAGACCAGCACGGAAATTAATAAAAAATGTTGGATCAGAAATAATGCCAAAAGTATCAATTTCAGAGGTAACTACAGCATTGGAAAACATGAAGAGAAATGAAACTGCAGGAGAAGATAGTATTAGTATATTAGGTAAGGAACTAATTGCAATTGTAACTAAGCTTGTGGACAGTTGTTTACATCAGGGCAAAGTCCCTAAGAGCAGGAACAACTCTAAAGTAATCTTATTACACAAGAAAGGTGATAGTCGAAAATTGGAAAACTACAGACCCATCAGCCTACTGTCACACCTGTTTAAAATACTTACCAAAGTCATAACTACTCGACTAACAAGGAAATTAGACGAATACCAACCATATGAACAGGCAGGTTTTAGAAAAGGCTATTCAACTTCCGATCACCTGTTAACCACAAAAATATTAATAGAAAAATGTAACGAATACAAGTTTCCAGTTTTCCTAGCATTTGTAGACTACCAAAAAGCTTTCGATACCATAGAACACACGGCCGTAATAAACGCAATGCAAAATTGTAGAATAGACAGCAGATATATTAACTTAATAAAAGAAACTATGAACCAAGCTACAGCTACATACTACCTAAATGAAAATAAACACACAAACCCTGTACCATTAAACAGGGGAGTCAAACAGGGAGATACTTTATTACCCAAACTGTTCACCTTAGTTTTGGAGAACGTTTTTAAAAACCTAAATTGGAAATATAAGGGAATAAACATCAATGGCCGCTACCTCAGTAATCTACAATCTGCAGATGACATAATCCTGATAACTACTGACCTACAAGAAATGCAAACCATGCTTGTAGAACTACATACCGAATCTTCTAAAATAGGACTGAAAATGAATTTAAACAAAACAAAAGTCATGCACTCCGAAGACACCGTGACAATAATAAACGATAAACTTATAGAATAAGTTGAAGAATATATATACTTGGGACAAAAAATTATTCTAAATAGGGAAATTCAGACTGAAGAAATAAAAAGAAGAAGAAAGTTAGCTTGGACAGCATTTGGTAAACTGAACTATATACTCAGAAATCAACAAATTCAATTACATCTTAGATCTAAAGTTTTTGAGGCATGCATTATTCCGATATTAACTTATGCGGCACAAACATGGACAATCACAAAAAAGAATATGAATATACTTAGAGTCACTCGACACGCGATGGAAAGAGCAATATCACTTAAGGACAAGAAAACAAACACATGGATAAGACAGAAAACCAAAGTCACCGATGTGGTGCAAAAATCATTAAAGTTGAAATGGGAATACGCTGGACATGTAGCTAGGAGCGATCTAAACAAATGGCACAGATCAATTTTAACCTGGAGACCATACCGACACAAAAGACCCAGAGGCAGACCTCCTATGAGATGGACAGATGATCTGAAAAGGACTGTCGGAAAAAATTGGCTACAAGTAGCGTACAATAAAAAAAATGGAAAGGAAGACTTGAAGAGGCTTATATTCAGATGTGGACGTGAATGGCTAGACGAAGAAGAAGAAGAAGAATCATGCGTTAATCTAGTATGTCCAAGTCTGAGGCGCGTTACTATTATTTCTTGGCTTCTTGACGTACAAGGCAACACATTCCATGTCTCTGTGCTGGGTTTCACTTGTTTTAATTTTGAATTCGACACATTCCATTTATTTTTCCACTTACTTAAGATTGATTTTTTTATATAAGCTTTTATATCCGTTGATACCGATGTGTTTACGATTTCAGAAACGTCACTCACTATTGTGTCTTTCGCACTATGGTCAGCAGTTTCGTTGCAATTTATTCATATATGGGATGGGATCCAGAAGAAATTTATCTCATTTTAATTGATATAAGCCTGAAGAAGGACCGCTTTATTTTTTAAGCGGGTTTTTTGGATACAGTTTTCGGGTGCTTTGTATAGCGCTAAGGTAGTCTGTTAAGATAATATATCTGCAGTTTGTTGTCAGATTGATTAGTTCTATGGCGCGATAGAGAGCATACAGTTTAGCTGTATAGAAAGTACTAATATTATAGACAAATTCACGAGAGGATTTTAGTACAATGCTTAGTAGAAGCGACGTTGCCGCTTAGGCCGCTAGGCACGTTCATAGTCTGCAGGTGTGATACAGGACCGCGTTGGCCCTCCTGTACGATAACATTAAATCATGCAATCATATTAGAAGTAAATGTAACATTATTGACAACTTCAAGATTTTGCAAATTACACAAAATTTAATAAAACTATTTTCTTCGAAATCTTCCTTACTAAATTATACAGAGTGTAACCACAGAACGGAGTCTACCAGGGAAACTGCTACAAAAACATTTCGTAGCTCCGTAGTGGCTACAAATTTAAATTGTTAATGTATATACCGACAGGATATACCAACTTGGATCAATGATTACTATTAACAGTCTCAACAATTATTACAAAGAAAAGTGGTTATACACCAAAGAATAAAATTACGCTAATAAACGAATAAAAATTTATGTAGCCTAAACGCTATCTAATCAATAAAGATAAGACTTACAATAACAGTGTCTGGTCTCTACTCCATTTCGGAAAAATCGTCCTCACTGGAACTGCCGGTGTTGGCTGTGATAATCACCGGTAGGATATTTTCTTGTAGGTTGTCAGCTATCCACATTTCTTTTTCAATTCTGATAACATGCTGTATATAATTTTTCCACTGTTCAGCACAGACATTGGCAAACGCTTCATGAATGAGTTGTTGCACACGATCTTTTTTGAAGTCAGTGTTTCGGACTACAACGTAATGTTTAACTTGGCTCCAAACCATCTCTATTGGATTAAGCTCACAGTGACATAAATAGGAATATAAAAGAGTTAACCAAGCGAGAGCGCCCACCAAACTGGCGTGGCAAGTGGCAAGTAGCAAGTAACACGCGTCTAGCATGTTACTAAATAGGTAACCAATGGAAATGAATTATTAGAATGAATGACGTCACTGTCATTTTTGTGTGCGTTGAATCATTCGTTTTCATTGGTGACATTTTAAGTAACATTCTAACAGTTTGGTTGGCGCTCTCACTTACATCGACAATCAACAGAAGAAATTTAACCTTCCACAAGCGTTCCACAACGCTTTTTCCACGATGTGAAACTGGGAGTTAATCTTCTGCTCATTCGACTCATATAATATATAAGGTTTCAGGAATGTTTGTGTAAGTGAATAGAATAATGGTAATTAATAAAACAAAACAACACAATAAAAGTAAAAGTAGAAGAAGAACTAACCGATCCTATTGAAGCTGGCAATGGGATAAGACAGATAGGTTCCCTGAGTCCTCTATCGTTTAACCTGATTATGGATGAAATAATAAAAATAGTAAAAAATAAAAGAGGATACCAAATGGGAGAAAAACAACTTAAAATAATCTGCTAAAAAGACGACTCAATACTACTTTTTTAAAGTGAAGATGATTTACAACGTATGCTGCACAAATTTAATATACCCGCCAGAGAATTTACCATTTTGAATCTTTCCAAAAAAGACAAAATGCATGGTTACAACAGCAAATTTACTAAGATATAAATTGGAGCTGGAAAATAAGATAATAAAACAAGTGATGGAGTTTAAATATCTAGGCATCACATTGTCTAGCTAAGAAAAGCTCGAAACTGAAGTAGAAGATCAAGTGAATAGAGCAAACAGAGCCGCAGGCTGCCTGAATAAAACAATATGGAGAAATAAAAATGTCGGGAAACAAATGAAAGGCAGAATTTACAAAACAGTGATTAGACCAATAACGACATATGTGGTAGACCTGAGACCTGATACTGTAGCGTTTTAAATTTGGTAATATTAAAATCTATATAATATATTAAATTCTGTTTCTGAGTTGTTTTTTCTGCGTTTGTCTTTTACAAAAGGGAATTTTAAAACGATGGATATATTACGGCATCTTAAGTTGAGATTTCATAAATACGTAATAACGCTGAGAATATTTTTTGTCTTTGTTTACATTCAAAAATTCCCCAATTCGTACGTGTTATTTCTAACTATTTTAAAAGTAAATATTTCAAGATGTTTTGTTGTCGGTTCATTGTTAAGAACGAGATCAAGAGGGTTATTTTGTTTGTTTAGGTTCGTACACAAAAAACTAGCTGCGAAACGTGAGAGGAAAGTATTTTGCGTTGAATTTTTAAAACCGATCTCAGATAAAGGAGTCAAGCTAGATCATTTGAACGAGAAAGACGTTTGGCGGATTTGAATCCACAGCCGTTTTTTTTTTGTGTAATGTCTTAAATTCAAGACGGGGAAAGGTTGGATTCACTCTTTGCGAAAACTGCATGTTAGGACTGAGTAACAACCACAAGATTTCTGCAGTACACCGAAACTAATGGAATTTTGAAAAGCAGTATATAGGATGTCTTCACCAGTTATCGTTTTGTTTATCAACTTGCTCCTACATCAAACCCCATTCACGTCTTAGATCGTCGTTCCTGAGTATGGAAATGGTTTCCTTTGTTCCTGTAGAGTCCCAGATATGTTTAACGAGTTTTTTCAGAAGTTAAGTGTAAAAATTTGTGAATTAAGGTAACATTTAATATATTAATTTTTCCAAGTAAAATAGACATTATTTTTAATAATTGCTTTTATTAAAATCTAATAAAAGCTAAAAATTTTAATAATAAAATTATTAAAAATTAATAGAATTTGTAATAATTAAAGTTTTATATTGTGTTAGAGGCGTGGCTGAAAAAATGTCATAATTTATTCTGTCTTACAATGTTATGTTGACATATGACATTTTGGCTTAAATCTGATGTTGTTGTAAAACAATTTTAATTTGAATATTATATAGAAAAGATATTTCATATATAAGGTTAAATTTTACGATATTTTTATAAACAAGGATATCCTTAATCATAATATTGTATTTTGGGCATATTAATAAATAACCCAGGAACCATTTCAAAAATTTTTGTAGCAATCTCCTTTTGTAAACAGATAAACATGTAAGTTTTTGTTAATTTTGTATTATGGTTATATAGTAGGTTTTTGTGCAATCTGTATTTTTGATAACTATTTGTTTGAGACAAAAATAAACGTTTGATTTGTTTCTCTGATCCATTTTTTTTATTTTAATTTAGAAAAGTCTCCTAACCTTGTATGTATTCTTGATTTTAGGGAAGAAAAAAATTTTCTTTCTCCCAGCAGGAAGTTTTCTTTGAAGCGGCGTCCGAATATAAATAGCTAGAGGTAATCTTGTCTGCCATATATTGTTTCGTTTTTGTTCCAGGAGATTTATGTAGGTATCCCTTTATTGTCATTTTGTAGATACCCCAATCCGACCCATTTATTTCAACTTATCCACGACCCAGCTCTCCAATAAACCTCTGAGTGTAGTACGCATCAGTTTCGATTATTTTGTTTGCCCCATCTCCACCTTCAGTAGTTTCTGTTCCCAATCTTCTACTCCCATGTTCTTACCCGCGGTAAGCAAAATATATCGTTACAATACAAAGAGGACAAAAAGGATGTTAGAAACAGCAGAGATAAAAACACGATATTATTTACTCTGTAACACTAATGCAACAATCTATTTAGTTTCTGTTGAAGCAGATCGCAGTTGTGAATATTGTCAATTTTTCTAAAAAGATTCAAATCATCAGCATATAACAAAAAATTGCTATTCAAGACAGAATTGTCAATATTATAAATAAATCAATTTAATAAGATGTTGGGAGGTGACTTCCTTGAGATACCTTTGAGGTTACATCCAATGGTTTTGAGAGAATAACATTTATGTTAACAATTTGATGTCGATTTGATACAAAGCTTAAGATCCAACTTAACAGTGGAACACATATGGTAGGTACGGTAGCTAGTACTGTAGATTAGCGCGAAGTTTCATACTAGGTTTTCTATATTTTTAAAATTTAACCATATTTTTAAAATTTTAATATTTTTAAAAATATAATAGAGTAGTTTTATTATTTGTTTATTATATATATTTTAAACAAATTACATTGCATTGAAATAATTCAATAAATTATTGTGTTTGCTAGTATGTGTAGTAGTAAAAGTTGGTTGGTGTTTGAAAGGAATTTCTCACCCGGACGTATCTTGGTGAGATGGACCAGAAGCTTGGTAGATATGGACCAGGGGTAAAAAGTAGGATCAATGACTACAAACTAAGTATAAAGTAAAAAATATGTATATTTTACATAATAATAAATGTTACAATAACCAAATAAAAATCAAACAGGTCTATTCTTTTCTTTCTTGACCACAATATTCCTATTAATGGGAAACTTCCCTTTTTGTGACATTAGTTGCCTGGTACTAGTAAAGTCACATTTTACTTCAAATCTAGAGCAACCTTCATGAAACCACCGACAACACTGTACACTCTTCACCCAGTCTTCTTTTTTTGTAGTTTCATTGTAAGCCTCTCCACATCCCACACATTTATCTTCATCCCATTCTTCTACTGACATACTGTCATCTTGGACTAGATCTGCAGAATCAAATCTTTCTGAGTCTGAAATTTTAAACTATGTCACTTTGCCGGATGGTTTCTTCTTTTACTTAAGAAACTTCTTTTTTGATTCAATTTTTTTTTCAGCTGATCTTACTTCTTCTCCTTTTTTTGTTTATCTTTTATTGCTTGCTCAACTGCCTTCCTTTTTACAACAGCAATGTTCTGAACTGAATTTATTACTTTTGAAACAGTCGTCAAATATCTCTTAACGGATACTTTCGGCGTGCGAGAACGGACGAGTGATATATGTTCTAGAAGTTTAGAAGAAGTCATTTTTGACAGTGTAAGAAAGAAGTACTGGAAATAATAGCAAGATCAAATTGAGTTCTTGGTACTGCACAGGAGACAGAAGAATCAACAGTGTTACTTGTTGGCACACTAGTTACAACATTGACGTGTTGGCCGATAAGTTCTGCGTTGGAGGCAACAGGATTAACGTCGCCGGTTGGTGCACTGGCGAAAGTGAATTGAAGCTCGATTTCGTCCATGTTAAAACTTTGCCCAGGCTTTTCAACCAAATTGTTTTCCGAAATAACACTTTCAAGTAACTTAAAGTACTCTTCCACACACCTCGTATTCATTCTCTTAGCTCGGGATACAAATACACCTGATTTTCTCATAGTAAGAGTAGAATTTCTTAAAAGAAAAGAGTGTAGCCAATCATAGCCAGCTTTCTGTTCTGCTTTCTAGTTTACTTGTTGAAATTGTAAGGTAGTTTTAGCCCTTTAGCAAGTTCAAACATCATTCGTCTCACTGAATCCCTGTAAGGAGTAAAGGAATGAGCTTGTAACTTTTTATGTGGCCTACAATCTTCTGTTCATTTACTCTTCCTAAAATGAAGGAAAACCCTAAGCTGTCCTTCGTAAATTTTTTGTTTTTAAATCCTTCATTTAAGAGTGGTCTTAGGAATTTGATAAGCTTTAGCAGCAGCATTGATACCCATTTCTTTATTTTCCACCGCATTAACGGCTTGTATTAATGCATCTTCCGTCTACGCTCCTCTACTGACATTTTTCTGAAATAGTAAAATACGAGCTCGTTAGTTTGTAATTACACTATAAGTCGTTTTAATAAAAGTAACATTTAAATACGTTGGTACTGGTCCATCTTTCCCGTATTGAAATACGTGGCCCATCTCTACCAAAACGTACTGGTCTATCTCTCCCAAAAGTCCGGGTGAGATGGACCACCTCATAATTCGCATTTTTAACGTACACATGGCGGCGTTTTTAGGTTAGATTACTACCTACATGTTTATTAATTAAGAATCCTACATCGATATCACGTAAACTTAAATTAAAAACTAAAACTATGTTACTACGTTAAAAAAAACTTTTGGACTTACCAAAACAAACAATGACCATGACAGAATTTTTCTGCCAACATGACATATTGACCATGTCATGTTGGTCAACAACACCACACAACTAACAGCATGTCTCCACTGTAACTGAATCATACTTACAACAAACAATGGTGGCGCTCGAGCGTCGCAGTTCGGAAATAATGGACTGGCCAATCTCTCCCGGTGGTCCATCTTTTCCGGACTTACCCTATAATAAATAAAACGAATTGATGGACAGTAGTATATTGATGTGAAGACCGGCATTTCGTGATGCTTCTCGTGACATCGTCTCGTGGCGCTTCTTCTGGGACGCTCGCCTATAGAGAAAAAGTAATATAAGTCCAGAAGAAAGCTTACAGAAGCGATAGAAATAGTTTTTGAGAAAATTGTAAACATGATGATGGCTAAAGTATCAATACGGACACGCCACCTAAAGAAGAAGATAGAAGCTTGGCTTTAATAAGGCATTTAGCAGTCATGAACAAGCATTTTGTGATGTTACATTCCCATCTTTGAGTTGGTTTATAAGAATAAACTATTAATTATGCTTATCCACTGGGATTCAGTGCTTAACAGTACAAATATCTCTTGTAGTATACTTTTTTTTTGTTAAAATAATGTATCTTTAATATTTTTTGCAAAAGTAACGCTAACTTAAAGAGCAAAAAAGTTAAGCGCAAATTTATGCCACATATTTAGCATATGTGGCGCCCTCTATCAGCTACGTCAAAGTATGCATCAAATTATAATTTCTCATACTCAAGAGTACCCAGTTGTAAATTTTTATACATAAATGTTAATAAACAGAGTTATAGCAAAAAATAAAATTTTAAATTTATGCTGTAATCCCTGTATCTTTCTTAATATCAATATTTTGTTAAAGCAAGTTAGCTTAAATCATAATATTTAAAAGCATAGAATCTACTGTTTCTTTTTGTACAATTACTCAGGGACCAACCTGTATATTTGAGCCATTCAGCACAACTTGGATGAGTGAAATTTAGACAGTTTGTACATTTTTTCTTTGTACTTTTTGACTACCCGCCGCCGTCTTGATGGCGATGGATTACTATATATCATTATTAACGTTTTATTTAGGTACTATGTTTGTAATGTAGAACTAGACGAAAGTACAACTAGACGAAAATACAAATCCCATCCCCATTAAGAGAGGAGTGAGACAAGGAGACGTAATATCGCCAAAGCTTTTCAACCTAGCCCTAGAAGATGTCTTCAAAACTATAAATTGGTCAACCAATGGCATTAACGTTAATGGCAACAAGTTAAACCACCTCAGATTCGCTGACGACATAGTGATTATAGCCAGCACATTCGAGGAACTGCAAATTATGTTGGGGGAACTCGGAGGCAGCTCCCAATACGTCGGCCTTAAAATGAATAAGAAAAAAACAAAAATAATGACAAACACAGATGACTCCAGACATATAACTATAAACGGTAGTGAGATAGAACAAATCCAGGAATATATCTACCTAGGCCAAATCCTGAGACTTGACAAAGAGAACCAAAGTGCGAAAATTACTAGAAGAGCAAGGCTAGCATAGGCAGGATTTGGAAAACTTAGTTGGATACTTAAGAACCGCAAAATACCCCAATACTTGAGGAGCAAAGTGTTCAACCAATGCATCCTTCCTATCATGACATATGGATGTCAAACCTGGACCCTAACCAAGGCAAACATGAATAAACTAGCCACAACAGAAAGAACAATGGAAAGAGCAATGTTAGGTATACGACTGTCAGATAAAAAGAGGAACGACTGGGTAATATCCAAAACAAAAGTCAAGGACATAACAACAAAAATTGACAAACTTAAATAGAGCTTCGCTGGCCACACTGCTAGACAGAAAGACCAACGTTGGAATACTACAATACAACATTGGAGACCTTACGAAAGTAAACGACCAAAGGAAGACCACAGATGAGATGGGTTTGATGACATTAAAAGAATAGCCGGAACAAATTGGAAATATGTTGCTCAGGATAGAGACCGATGGAAGGAGTTGGGAGAGGCCTATGTCCAAACAAGGACGACAGAAGGCTAAGAAGAAGAAGAAGAAGAAGATGTTTGAATAATTTGATTTGTTTGGATGGTTTGTATCTGATACTTATGATCAAATCAAAAGAGATTTATATATAAATATACTGTGTAAACTGGTATGATGTGTATTATTCGATATGAAACTACGATTCTACATAGGAAAAACAACTGTAATTAACTATAAGAGTAAGATACAATGTTAACCAGTAGTTTCGTGGATATGAATTGTAATCCCTATGCGTCTGAAGTACTGCTTGAAGTATTGCCAAATCGGACTTTTCAATATAGAATGCTCCCAAAAACCATTATTTGTCCCAACAGCGAGCAACAAGATAAATTGTTAACACGACCCACATTTGCTCAAAACTGTTGACACAACCGTCCCGACCTTTCTTCTTGATGTCATATAAGAAAAGCCCCAGCAAGTAGTCTTCATATCTATGAATAATACAACAATAAATTACAATCAATTGTGACTTAATCCCATTTAAATATAATATTTAAACAAGAAGAAGTAACAAATTCACAGAATAATAAAGAAAATTACATTATAGTGTATTTTTATGTATGAGAGAGTAATAAAACAATAAATTATGTATGCAAATCCCTAAACTGTTTATACGGGTGACTCAATGAAAAACAGATATTTGTCAACAAGTTTACAGAAGTATATAGGAAAACAATTTTAAATTGAGTATGACCACCAGGTTTAAAGGTTGGAGCAGAATATAATACAATAGTTGTGAGGGTTACTAATCCCTAAATAAGGTTGCCAGTGTCGGAGTGATGGAGGTTAACAGGTACTAATGAATTTGCAAGAACTGTAAGATGTTTATTTTATTGGTTATATATAACCAATAAAAGTTTAATAAGTACCTACCTATTTGCAAAATAAAGTTTAATTCTTTAGATAAAATAAAACGTTTTATTTTATCTGAAATGAGTGCATTCCACGAAGTAAGGGTTTCAACAATCAAACATTTAATTCTTTAATTCCAGGAATCTACGACAGTAATTGACTAGATAATTACCTTCTAAACTTATTCCACAGAAAATGTGATAGTGGGTTTTTCCATTTTGTAGGAAGGTCCAAGTGGCGTATTCAAAATTCTTAACAGTTCACTAAAAGTAGGTACTTCAGTTGCAAGGTGCAGTTTATTGTGTATACTAGTGTTATGGAAAATTTGGAAGTGCCGTGTAAACGCCGAAAAATTGGTCCTTTAACAGTTAATGAAAAAACATTAATATTTAATTGTTTTAAATCATTTACAGACAAACATTTATGTAAAAGTGTTGATGAGACCGTTGAGTTAGTTAGCAGTACACTTGGTGTTGGGAAATCTACGATTTACAGAGTTATTAAAGAAGAGAAATGTGGTAGTTTTCAAATGCCACGTAATGCTTCGACTTCGACGGAAAGTGCATGAATTCTTCTTTAGACAAGAATTTCCAACATTGGATAAAGTTCTTGTCTCAGTTCGAGATGATATGGATTACCGAGGAATGAGTCGAAGTACGTTATGGAAACTTTTAAAAGAAATAGGCTTCCGCTGGAAAAAGAATCCCAGAAAGTCTATTTTATTAGAAAGAAGCGATATTGTCATATGGAGAAGACATTTTCTAAGAACCATAAAGGAAATGAGAAACCAAAAAAGAAAAATATTTTATCTTGTTGAAACATGGATCAACGAGGGTCATACACCAAATAAATTTTGGCAGGATGAAACTGTTACAAGTCAAAGGCACGCTTTTGTAAATAACTTATCTACTGGTTTAAACCCACCATCAGGAAAGGGACGCAGGCTGATAATAGTACACATTGGCAGTTCAGACGGTTTTGTTGAAGGTGGTTTATTAACTTTTGAATCAACTCGTACCGGTGACTACCATGAAGACATGAACGCTAATGTCTTTCAAGAATGGTTTGAACAAATGATAGATCTTCTTCCTATGAACTGTGTAATAGTAATGGATAATGCAAGTTATCACTCCAGACTTATAGAAGGACTGCCCACAACCAAGTGGTTAAAAAAAGACTTGCAGAATTGGCTGAGTTCAAAAAATATTACGTACCATCCCGGATCTATAAGAAAGGAACTTTATTCGTTGTGTGCACTTCATAAAGAAAAATTGAAAAAATACGAAATTGATGAAATTGCTAAAAATCGTGGAATGACAGTACTTAGATCCCCACCATATCATTGTGAATTAAA